TATTTATATTGTCCAGCAGTGATGTTCTTATTAAACTAAACATTTTGAGGGGTTAATGGAAATGTATTGTAATATTTGGAAATATTTTGGATAGCAGGGGTTAGTCAGTGTAATTTACATGCAACTATCTGGACTCCTATTTAATGACATCAGTACACAAAATCACCAATATAAAAAAAGAATAAATAAATGGTTGTTGACACAAAAAAACTAAATTTTTATTTCKGACACCAGTTTTCATCCTAAGCTTGATAAGATTCATCTCAAAGATTCAGTTTCTGTTAACAGTGTGCAAAAATTCTTCTTTTATACATAATATATAAATATATTCAGTTTTATGTGTGTATAAAAATATACATAAAAAGGCTTTGTATAATATTTGTAAAATACATACATGTTTAGAAGGAAAAAAGCATGCTGTGCAGCTTTAGCAGCAAAACTAAGCCCTGAACTAACTTAGTGCCAAATTTACTTAAATATAAACAAATCAAATATATGATGTTAAAAGATTCTTTATTATGTTTTGCCAGTTTATGTAATTGGTTCATCTTGACAGTGTGTAAACTAAATTTACTGCAAGATTTATATTTATATTCTGGTATTCTTAAAGAAATAGATACGTAATATTAATAAGGCCACAGATCTTTATGTAAAAACTGAGCTTTTTTCCTTGAATGTTTTCTTAGTCTTAAACTAGTTCAGCTTCAGGACTGAAAGTATGGCTGACAGGTTAGTGTTAATAAATGATAAAATAATGAATGCTTACACAGCATTAACTGTCAGCATTTTTAATCTTTTTTAACCTGCAGCCCCTCGCCAAGACCAGTTCCTTCTCTCCCTGAGGGTTCAGATGAACAACAGTTGGATTTCAGCTGTAAAAAGTTCAATATTTTTGTTTCCAACCTGAAAAGGGAAGTTTTAAATCTGCAGCAGACTCTTTAACTCTGCCCCCATCCTGCTGACTTTTCTCCATCTTCAACTTCTCATGTTTTCACTCAGAAATGTGAAGGTTGTTTCTAAATGCAAAGAAAAGAAGCGTTAATTATAATATTTTGTTCTATGTGAGAATAGTTTTTTTCAGTTAAACTAAAAACTAAAAGGCCTCTCCTTGATATAAAGTAAAAACTATTTGCCATATACTGTATATCTCTTTTTTAACTAATAGATTCCTGGACAGCTTTGTCTTTTTTTTTTACTTATTTATTTTTTGGGTTATTTGCTTAAAAAGAGAGGCTATCAGTGTCTGAGTTCTATGTAGCTTTAAGATGAGGTGTTACATCCTGTATCAGAATAATTCATTCTGACCGATTATATTGTTGGCTCACCTGTTGGTTTTGCTTCTGTTCAGTTTAATTTTTGTGGCACCAGTTCACAAAGAACATCCTCTTCAGGCTCTTTACAGAGAATCAAGGTGTTTACGTTACAGAGAATAAAGTCCTTTCTTCATTATTTTTAGTTCCTCTGCTGTAGAATTCACCTGAAACTTTAACTTGTTGTTTCCACAGGCTTGTCGTCAGCATCTGAAGCTGGTTTGTGTTTGGATCAGAAAGGCAGAAAAAAAAAAGAAAATAAAAATAAAAAAGCAAAAAGTTGAACAACTTCTTTTAAATAATGGACGAGATTTTGAAAAAAAAAACCATCATGCTGGGTCTGAATAAATGTCACCAAACTGGAGAGAAAAACAACAGCTAAAAAATATTTGAAATGTATTTAAGTTGAATGTCTCACCTGTTATGTACCTTATTACTTTTTGAAACATAAAAAAGTGGAATTAACCACAAGAGATTTTGTGAAAAATATTTATGAAAAAATCTGCTGTAAAAAAATAAAGATTTGACTGTATGTTGTTACTGATTAACCCCTATAACTGAGAAAATGTATGAAAAAAATGGGGAAAACAAAAGACCAATAATGATAATCCAATTATTGGGAAAACATAAGTCACAAAATAAAAATATTACAAGTTTAAGCCCTATTTCCTTTTTTGTCCCGTGCCTTTATTTATTACACAAAAGTTCACACTTCTTCTAAAAGTATTTAATTATCCTGTTCTCACATTAATTTTGGTCTCTTCGAGCTGCTGGTTTCAGTGGTGGGTTGTGGAATCACAAAACTGAGCAAATAAAATAGAAACTAAAACACAGAAAGGAGTGTGTGTGATTCAAAGAGTGTGCTGTTTTTTATCAACTGATGGGTTTTCATACAATGATGGATGGATGGATGGATGGATGGATGGATGGATGGATGGATGGATGGATGGATGGATGGATGGATGGATGGATGG